TGGACCTCTCTAGGAAGTCTATGTCTCGCTGCATATCTGGTGTTAACTCTAAATATCTCATCAATACTTTCCAAAAAAATTTCTTTGTCCATCTCTAGGGCTCCTGTCAGTAACTCTGCCATTATTTCTGCTAGATTTTCTCCTTTTTCTTCCTCTATATTCTGAAATCACAGATAATAGTTAGCCCGGTCTACTTCAAGTGAAATTATTATCCTTTATTTTTACCTGCCAGTGTAAATCGGTCATCAACTTCATTCGCTTTTTCTGTGTAAATTCAACTTTTTTTCTACTTTCTGTATATGTTGTTCATTATTTGTCATCATTTGTTGTACTTTCTCTAGTTTATCTTCTACTTTCTCTAATTTATCATCCACTTTCACTATTTTTTCTTTGACTTCTATAAAATCATCATGGAGCACTTGAATCATTTCTTTCAGTTCTGACTGCATTGCATTCACTTTCTCTTGTTGACCTAGTGCAGTGGTTCCCAAACTTGGCAACTTTAAGACTTGTGGACTTCAACTCCCAGAATTCTCCAGCCAGCAGAGTTGGGAGTTGAAGTCCACAAGTCTTAAAGTTGCCAAGTTTGGGAACCACTGACCTAGTGGCCAAGGTCTTCTGTCCAGAAAGACTCGAGGCTGCTGAAGAGGTTCTTGATGATGGTGCTGACCCTGTTTTCTTCATCTTGAATCTTTTAAAATCTTTTTAATATTTATAATCCACCATAAAGGGGGGGGGGGGAGAAAAATCTCCAATTTCAATCTCTTGACCACCCTTCTTCTATTTGTTGTTTGTTGTTTTCTTTAGGTTCTTCCAACCCCAATCCTTTAATATCCAGCCAAAAGGGATAATAGGTGAATAAACTGTAATCCACTTAGGCCCACCAAACCCAATTGTTTTTTATTTCCTTGAGAAAAAAAAAGGAAAAAAGTTCAGAGTTCACAGAGCCAGAGAAAAAAGAAAAAGTGTCAGGCCTACATTTATATTCCTTTTAGAATTTTGGCCTGCCACACTTTCTCTTATTTCATTATGCTGTTTCATTAGTATAGTTGATGGGAGGGGGGAATAGACAGGAGTGAGATTGTGGACTGTATTGTTTTCATTCTTTACTAGAAGCCAAGGTCATCCTTTGTCTCCGCACCAGTACACCTGACCAGAAGCAGCTGGGTGTGGATGCCAGCGTGGAAGAAGAAGATTGGACCATGTGATGGATTGTGGGTGTGGGTACAAGATCATGAACTTTTAACTGGGTGGAATTCTGATGTCATTTCCAGTATTGGAATGTGCCTAAAATGTCTGCTTTATTAAATTGGAACCAAAAGGATCATTTTGCCTTGTACTCTGATTTAATTCTACTTGATACTTGGAACGCTGACAGTAAGTCTTTAACTGTCTATATTCCCTTTGAGTTTCAAGAGCTAAGCTATTTAATAATAAGTTTCAAGCTTACACTCTATCTCAATTTTCAGTTTCCAGTCACACCAACCTGTACCACCAAGATTATTTCTAGTGGCCACTTATCTTTATTTACACAATTCCTCAAGGCTGTCTCTGCAGCTACAGCTGTGGCTTCCAATCTCCACTTCCAACTTCTGCCAGTAGATGGCATTCTGGCTTTGCTACGCTCTCTATATAAAATAGGAACAGTGTCAGGTTTCCAAAAAATGCCTTAATTGATTCATGAGTCTCAAACCAAACTTCAAAGGAAAATGAGTCATTTATTAGAAGCATTTATTTTTGGCAAGATCTTTTCGCAGTCAGACCTAAGCTTTGTTTGAGTAATAGCTGAACATTACCCCTGTTCCTTCCCGCCCCTCAGTCTGTGTCATCAATCACATTCCCCAATGAGGTGCACCCCTCCCAAGCCTGCTGCAGCAATCTGAGCCGAAAGTATGCGTGGAATGCGCTCCACCTCCTTCTCTCACCATGACAACTTTGGGAGTTGACATTCGGCTCCCCTCACTTTCCAAAAGCAAATGTTGCATCTTGCAATGTTTTTATCTTAATTCTTGGTTTTTTCCCTTGCCATATGTATTTCCCCATTATTTTATTCATACTTTCAAACTATTTTTCTCTAATTTTATTGGTACTGTTTGGAATAGGTATAGCAATCTTGGTAATATATTCATCTTTACTATAGTTATTCTTCCCATCAATGATAATTGTAGGTTTTTTCATCTTTCCAGATCTATTTCTATTTGTTTTCTTACCTTATAATAGTTATCCACCTTTAATGTTATACACCTTGATGTCAGTTGGATACCTAAATATTTCACTTTTTTCACCACCTGTATGTCCAGTTTCCCCATCAACTGTCTTTTTTTGTTTTTCTGTCATATTTTTCACCAAAATTTTTGTTTTGTCTTTATTAATCTTCAACCCCGCTACTTCTCCATATTATTCTATTATTTCAACTAGTTTTGGCCCTGTTTCTATTGGATCCTCCATAATAAACACCAAATCATCCACAAACGCTTGTAATTTATATTCTTCTTTCTTGATTCTCATACCATTTACCTCTTTGTTTTGTCGTATTTCTCTATTAAAAATCTCTAGTGTCAGTATAGTGCAGGAGGGGTCTTTCCCGCAACCATTAAAGGAAGCAATGGTAAGACCCCTCCTCAAAAAGCCTTCCCTGGACCCAGCTATTTTGAAAAACTATTGTCCTGTCTCCAACCTTCCCTTTTTGGGAAAGGTTGTTGAGAAGGTGGTGGCGCTTCAACTCCGACGGACCTTGAATGAAACGGATTATCTAGACTCCTTTCAGTCCGGTTTCAGGCCTGGGTACAGCACGGAAACTGCTTTGGTCGCCCTGACCGATGATCTCTGGCGGGCCAGGGATAGAGGACTCAGCAGCCTTCGATACCATCGACCATGGTATCCTTCTGCAATGCCTAGGGTAGGTGGGAGTGAGAGGCACCGTTTTACGGTGGTTCTCTTCTTACCTCTCTGACAGGTCACAGTCGGTGTTGGTCGGGGGGCAAAGGTCAACCCCTAGGCCCCTCAAATGTGGTGTGCCACAGGCTTCGGTCTTGTCCCCCCTCCTATTTAACATCTACATGAAGCCACTGGGTGAGATCATGCAACAGCATGGGGTAAAGTACTATCAATACGCAGACGATACTCAACTGTATCTTTCTGCCACATGCCAGCTCAGTGTAGTAGCGGACGTGATGTGCCGATGCGATGCCTGGAGGCTGTTAGGATCTGGATGGGGGTG